GCACAGGGGATTGAACTTGGGTCTTTGTGCTTGCCAGGCAGGCGCTTAGACTGCCAAGCTATCTCCCCAGCCCTGGAAGTAATACTTTTTATTTCTCTACTGTGCTATGTAGAATCTTACAAATTTATCACTATCAAGCATACTTACGATGTTTGAGTTCTGAGGCAAAACAGAGCTCTAAAAACATTGAACTACACTAAGATTCATGGATCAAATTATACATATTTTAGTGCCATAAATTTATCACTGTTTTTTCATTATTTTGCAAAGCTTAAAAATAATGGGCTTATTCTGATTTTTTTAAAAATTTAATTTAATTTAATTGTTTTTATTTATGTGTGTGTGGCCAGCTCAGCCCACCAGGGGGCGGGGCTGGCTGGCATGTGGTGCTGGGGGATTGAACCGCGGTCCCTGTGCTTTGTCAAGCTTGTTCCAAGTAGGTGCTTTAGACCATTGAGCCATCTCCCCAGCCCCTTTTTCTGATTTTCTTGATAAAATATTACTTTTTGTTTTTGGTCTTTTTGAGACAGGGTCTCACTATGCAGCTTGGGCTGGCCTGGAACTCACTTTGCAGCCCCAGGCTGGCCTCAAACTCACAGTAATCCTGCTTCACCTCTGGAGTGCTGGGATTACAGGCTTGCACAACCACACCTAACCAAATATTACTTTCAAACCCACTGAACTAATCTCATTCATGGTGGAATTGGGCTTGTTTTATTCCAATAAAACTACTTCAGTTTGAACATAACAATCATGGTGGCTTTAAAAGTGAACATATTTAAGTTATAAGAAATATAGTATGGATATTCTTTCTGCTGAATATTTTCTAGTTTGTAGGGGAAAAGCATAAAAATAATTTAAGATTATGGAAATTCTATTAGAGCAAGCAAAGAGGGACTTAATTACACATTTAAAAAATAAGTATAGAGAAAAGTGAATAAATCATAAGACTTCAATACAGGGCTGTGAGAAATTATAAAAAGGTGTTACCAGTTTTCCTTTGGTGACTAAAAATAACACAGGTAATTTTATGTTTAGGTATAATATAATCCAGAAAACAATAGTGGTTTAGATAAAGTTGTGAAATTCCCATGCTTCTTTCACTAACGGAAAAAATGTAAAGAGGGACTTTAGAGCAAGCAAGTCCATAGATAAAGCCCTCAGCCTGTTTCAGTAATTTGGGTTTTTAAACAGTTGTCTTTTAAATGTATTTGGGGGCTGGAGAGATGGCTCAGTGGTCTAAAGCACCTACTTAGAACAAGCTTGGCAAGGCATCAGGGACCGCGGTTCAATCCCCCAGCACCACAT